TTTGTATCAACGCAACCACGAAAAACATTGTCATTGTTAAATCGGTTTTAAAATAAATGAAAAAAAAAGAAAAACCTTTCTCAATAAATTCTGTAACAAGCACTAATTTGTGAATCGCTGAATCACCCTATCGAAAACCAAACTGTATGTTTGGGATAACACTTCTTTCCAGCAGCTGATCTTAAGTTTTCGCAATACAACTTTTTCAAACAATTTTGAGAGTCGAAAAGAGACTTATACGACGGTAATTAGATATTAGTTAAGTGGCTAGTAATATTCGAGGGGAGGTGTTTTAGAATTAAATTTGTAAAAGGTCATGCCCTGGGGCCTTCCTATTAGGTAGATTGTTAATTAAATATGTGATTTCGTCATTTGTTACTTCTTTATCTACTCTTTCTATTCGTGGAAGATGAGTTTTATTATATCTTTGAATAGTAACAGAAGATGACATGCTTTTCTCGACGTATGTGAGTACATGATAATTAGGGCTCGGATTTTATGCAAAATGCATCTTCTTTATTTTCTGGAATATTTTTTTCAAAATTGATTTCTGGGCGAATTACATAAAAATAAGGCAGATGGTACAATAAAAAAATTGCATATTTTGCATATTTTTACAATTTTTTTGATTGTTGCATAAATTAGCCTTTTACTGCATATTTTCGCATATTTTGTCATTTTACTAGATTTGTTTCTTATTGCTTAATAAAATAAAATATAATGACTGCGTGATTTTTAAATATGCGAACATACCTTTTAGATTAAAGCACAACACAGGATATTTTTTGATTGCGGGTTGGTTTCTTGTTTACAACGATTCACAGAAACATGCGGGGAATCCCTAGCGCTGTTGAGTTTAAGTTTAAGGAAATCCCCAACCATAGTTACTGTGGCTGTGTTCAGTGGATGTGAACATTAATCTACCAATCTATAACAACAATGCCTAAAGTGTCTTGTGTCCCAGTGGATAAAAAGTTATCCCGAACTAAATTTAAATAATGAGGAATTATTTTGTAAAACTTGTGCTAAAGTTGTAAGAATTTTTTAAAAATTAAGTCGTAACGTCTTAGCCAACGATTACGTTAGGTTTTTAAGTTAAAAATTAGAGTTTTAAGAGGAGTTGCCAATAGTTTGTTCCGAAATTGTATTTCTTATAGACTTTCACACTAGGAGTTAAAAAAATGGAAAACTGTTAAATTTAAACTAAATAAAACTATTTATATTAAATTTGATGTCCCATCTTCTTGGAATATGTTTTTACATATGTTTCTAGGCAATCGACAATAAAAAATACGATACATCTGTTAGAGTATCTATGGCTAACTTCTTTAATTATTCTTTTTTAAGATAACGTGTCAGAGGAAGAAAATAAATAGAACAATATGTGAAAAGGGCAAAACATATACAAAAATATGATAGAAATAGATTGATAACAACTATGAAAAATGTATATGTTTGCATATTTCCACATATTTGTGCATATTTTGAATAAAAAGCTTGCATATTTATGCGCATATTTCCTATAATTTGACTGCATAACAATCCGAGCTCTAATGATAATTCAAGATAATCAGCAACGGCTTGAGTTTTTCCTTCAACAGTGGAGAACTGATTCCCTTCATGGATAATTGTAGGAATTTCTTCGTGTCTTCTCAGTATTTTTCTTGTTGTTATTCACATTCCAGGATCTTTATTATCCATATTGCTTAGAAAATTCTGATAATCATTAATATCATCACTGTTGTCTTCACAAGCAAGAACATGGAACTTATTTTGGGTTAAGAGATCTAGATTAAAAGAATATCGTTTATGAATGTCATCTTCTAGACGTCATTCGACTCATGCCTCTTTTATAGCATATTATTCAATTAAAATAATTAATTATCGCCTTAAATTATGCAAAAACTTTAAAACAAATTTATTANAGTAGCTGTGGAACACTTATTGATGTTTTCGTAACATTTTTTAGTTAAACCTCTTATAACATTTTCCATAATTATTATGTTTAGTTCAGCGTGAAGTTGTTCACTGCGAATAAACCATGGCGCATCTACTGCTCTCTATCGAATTTTGTTTTGAAGAGATTGTATTTTTCGGATATTTGTTGCGGAAGCATTACTCCATACCGGGCAAGCATAGGTGACCAAAGATCTTATTAAAGCTTTATACAGTATGTCTTTAGTATTATAGTGTATTTAGTTTTCAGATTTATTAGAGGAAATAGTTGTTTCAATTGAGCATATCCCAAATTTAATCTGTTGTTTACCCCAATTTAATCGTTGATGAAGATGCAGGCCTAAGTATTTAACAGATTTGTCTTTAGGATTCAAATGAAGTTCTGTGTTATTGATTATAATCTTGTAGCTATTCTATCGTTAGCAAACAGAGCTTTTTCATTGCATCTTTGGCACGGTATATCATGCATAAATATATTAAATAAGGTCTATCTGAATACGTACCACTTATTATCACACAAAAAGTTCTTTCTTGAAGATATGACATAAGTATTGCGGTAATATAGTCATCTAGACCTAGATGCAATAGTTTGAATTTTAATCCCTCCATCCAAACTGTATCAAAGGCTTTAGCTACATCTAAAAATGCGATAGTAGTGCTTATTTTCGTCACATTACCACAATTCAACAATATAATGAATCCCATCTACTAACTTCAGTAACTACCTAGAGATTGGCAGAATATCAGTAGAAGAACTAAAGGTAGAAATAGCAAAGCTCGCCATTAATAAAGCTTCAGGCCTAGATCAGATACCTAATATAGTAATAAAACACCTTTCGCAGAAACTACTGAGTCACCTCACAGGAATTTTTAATCGCTGTCTGGAAATTAGCTACATTCCGATAGTATGAAAAAAAGCGCAAATCCTAATGTTCAGAAAGCCAGGCAAAATCAATACTGACCCAGCCAATTATCGCCCAATCAGTCTCCTCTCATCCTTATCTAAGCTATTCGAACGAGTCATCCATCATCGACTACAAGAAGAGTTAAGCCTTCTTAAAATAATCTCAAACATCCAGTACGGATTTAGAGAGGAACACACCACGGTTCACTAACTGGCAAGAGTAGCGGAATATATCAAGGAAGGGTTCGAGACTAAAAAGTTTACACCTGTTGTTTCGCTGGATATAGCAAGGGCCTTTGATACTGTCTGGATTGAAGGATTAAAATACAAGCTCAATTAAACGGGGTTAAGTAACTATTTACTTGCAATTCTATTCTCCTTCCTGAAGGAGAGAACTTTTTTCGTCACCATCAATGCATACTCCTCCAGCACTCGAAAAATACTTGCAGGCGCCCCACAAGGTAGTAGTTTATCCCGTGCTCTGTTCAACATCTTTATGCATCTTTATGCAACTTCGAAATGGAAATGTTTGCGGATGACATGTTAATAATGGGACAAAACGACATCCTTGTTGATGCCATTGAGACACTTCAAAGGTCAGTGGACAAAATCCAGAAATGGTTTTCAAAATGGGCCATTCTGCTCAATGCCAGCAAATTCCAGACCAAGATTTTTTCACTAAGACCTTATCGAAATGCTCCTTACATTATTATAAACGATCAAGAAATACAGTGGAAAGCAAAAGATGAAGCCATTAAATACGTCGGAGTTCTCCTTGATCATCGCCTCTCTTGGAAACTCCACATAAACTCAAAGGTCAACCAAGGATATGTCAGGCTTCGCCAATTGTATCCTCTGATCAACAGAAAATCACCACTGCGAACTGAGTGCACTTTACTTCTTTACAAAGTCCTCATCAGGCCACTAGTAACTTACGCCTGCCTAGTTTTGAGCAATTTATCAACTTCAAACTTGAGAAAAATTCAAACTCTACAAAATAAACTTCTGCGGATCTCAGTGAACGCGCCGTGGTTTGTAAGAAACGAGGAGCTCCATGAAGTCTTAAATGTCCCAACTATCAGCGAATTTATTAAAAAACTAACTAAAAAGTTTTTTAACAATATCAGTGCGGTTCAGCATCAAGTTGATCGCCAACAAATCCACACGCGTTTAAAGAGGAAGCTTCCCCAAGACCTAATAGCATCCGATTCGGACTAGCATTTCACAGCTCGGAAGTTACATATTCTGTAATCATGGTATTTGTATGTAATTATTTCTTTTTTTTTGTATCAACGCAACCACGAAAAACATTGTCATTGTTGAATCGGTTTTAAAATTAAGGAAAAAAAAAGAAAAATCTTTCTCAATAAATTCTGTAACAAGCACTAATTTGTGAATTGTTGAATGATCCGACCGAAAACCAAACTGTATGTTTGGGATAACATTTCTTTCCAGCAGCTGATCTTGGAGTCTTCGCAATACAACTTTTTTCAAACAATTTTGAGAGTCGGAAAGAAACTTATAGGACGGTAATTAGATATCAGTTAAGTAGCTAGTAATATTCGAAGGGAGGTGTTTTAGAATTAAATTTGATATAACGTCATGCCCTGGTGCCTTTCTATGGGGTAGTTAGTTAATTAAATATCTGATTTCTTCATTTGTTACTTCTTCATCTACTCTTTCTATTCGTGGAAGATGAGTTTCATTATATCTTTGAATAATAACAGAAGATGACATGCTTTCTCGAGGTATGACTTATATGGTAATTCAAGATAATCAGCAAAGGCTTGAGTTTTTCCTTCAACAGTGGAGAACTGATTCCCTTCATGGATAATTGTAGGAATTTCGTCGTGTCTTCTCAGTATTTTTCTTGTTGTTATTCACATTCCTGGATCTTTATTATCCGTATTGCTTAGAAGATTCTGATAGTCATTAATATCATCACTGTTGTCTTCACAAGCAAAAACATGGAACTTATTATGCGTTAAGACATCTGGATTAAAAGAATATCGTTTATGAATGTCATCTTCTAGAGGTCATTCGACTCATGCCTCTTTTATAGCATATTATTCAATTAAAATAATTAATTATCGCCTTAAATTATGCAAAAACTTTAAAACAAATTTATTATTTCTTTTAGATGTCTCTCAACCTCATGGTGATTACAAACCAGAAGATGTAGCAACAGTTGGTGAACTACTTTTAGACGTTTCCGTAAACTTAGCACGAACGTAAGAACTTTAAACAAGTTTTTTTATAAATTTCCTCAATTCTAAAAGTTTTATATCATCTAATCCAATTGTTTTCATTTTATTTGCGTTAGTTATGGGTTATCTTACGAAGAAATCGAAAAAGCTCTTCCATTAATAGACACAAGTAAAACGTTAATCCGGGAAGTGTGCCCACCATATTTATCGAACGTAGAATGTCGCCCGGGAAAGTATCGAAGATATGATGGTCTTTGTACTAATCTTCAACACCCAACATGGGGAGCCACAAATACACCGTTTACGAGGTAAAAATAAATTTTAATTAGATTTTCCCATTTACGGTTGACATAAAAACGCTTTCATCTTTTTCTTAAAGGTTAATAGGTCCATTATTTTCTGATGGGATGTCAGCACCAAGAATAAGTGTAACCGGAAATAATCTTCCATTATCTCGAGTAGTTTCAAGGACAATGCATCCGGATGAAGGTTTCCACGATCACGCTGGAACCGTAATGATCATAGCTTGGGGGCAATTCATGGATCATGATTATACTTTAACCGGGACTCCTTTAGATCCCATCAATAGAAACGATCCCGAAGAATGTTGCGATCGTCCACCTCATTTAAAACATCCGTATTGCGACGAAATTTACATCCCTGAAGATGACTATTTTTACAAACTCTTTAAATTTAAGTGTATGAATTTCGTACGTTCATTCCCGGCTCCACGCCCGGGATGTCGATTGGGTTCCAGAGTTCCTTTTAACACATTAACTGGGGTTTTGGATGGAAACACCGTTTATGGAGTTACAGAAAAATTCGCCAGAAAATTACGATCCGGAGTTGGCGGGGAATTAAGAATGAATCCCGCTTTCTCTGAGTACGGATTAAAAGATATTCTTCCTTTGAAGCTTGATATTCCCGATGAGGGATGTACTCGAGCTAATAGCAGCCAATTTTGTTTTGAAGCCGGCGAAATTCGCGTTAACGAACAACTAGTTCTTACTTGTATGCATACTTTAATGGCTAGAGAACATAATAGAGTTGCAAGAGGATTAGCTGAGGTTAACCCGCATTGGGATGATGAAACTCTTTTCCAAGTAAAAAAAATTAAAGTCTTGGTGAAATTAAATTAAATTAATTTTTATTTTAGGAAGCTAGAAGAATTAATATTGCTATAATCCAACATATTACTTACAACGAGTTCTTACCGATACTTTTAGGTAAAGATGTTATGCAGAAATTTGGATTACTTCTTGAAAAAAATGTAAGTACACTAAAATAACAAGTTGCTGTATTCTATAAACTCGGGGTATTCCCCGATTTGTCTATATGATGTATATTAATTTTAATTTTAAAAGGGTTATTATCATGGTTATGACCCTAGTGTTAATCCTAACGTAATAGATGCTTTTGCCGCCGCTGCATATCGTTTTGGACATTCTTTATTACCAACAGCTGTTGAGAGATGGAGTAAAGCTCATAAATTTATTGGTAAGTTTAAATTAAACGATTCTAATAACAAATAATCATTTTGTTACATTTTTAGCTTCAAAAAGATTGTCAGATTTAATTAGGAGACCTTTCGATTTATACCGAGCAGGAGTTTTCGATGAATACTTAATGGGATTAATGAACCAAGTAGCCCAAGCTATGGATGATTCGATTACTCAAGAAGTAACGAACCATCTCTTTAAAAAAGTAGGGGCAAGGCACGGAATGGATCTGGTCAGTTTTAACATGCAAAGAGGTCGCGAGTTTGGTATCCCCGGCTACATGGAATTTAGAAAATTCTGTGGGCTTCCCGCTAGCGATCATTTCGAAGGACTTTTCGGGTCAATGCCTAACGAAACTGTTGCTAGATACGCATCAATTTTCGAGTAATAAATCCTAAAACATCTTAATAACAGTATAATTAAAATCGTTATTAATTTTAGACATCCAAATGATGTTGATTTATGGTCCGGGGGAGTTTCAGAACGCCCTCTTCCCGGTTGTATGTTAGGACCAACTTTCGCGTGTGTCATAGCAACCCAATTTAGTTATTCAAGGAGAGGAGATCGATTTTGGTACGAAAACGCCAACCAACCATCTTCATTTACACCCGAACAGTTAGAAGAAATTCGCAAAGTTCGATTGGCACGAATTATTTGTGACAATACCGATTTAATCGATACAATTCAATTATATCCTTTCGTATTACCCGATCATGAAATGTAAGTTTTATATTTCTGGTATAATTCAAGAATCATCATGTCGCTTAAAAATCGATATTTTTTTTTAATCGACGGTAAATTACTCAAGCAAGCCGTTACAAATAAAAAAAATGCGGAAAAGTGTAAAATTTACCGAAAAATCACTTTAAAATTTCGACATGACGTCACTTGTTGTGGTTGGTTTAAACCTGATACTTTCTAGTTCTAGGTCTAGTATTAGTTCTAGTTTTACAATAACACTATCACTAGAACTAACACAAGACCTAGAACTAGAATCATTCGGGTTTAGCCGTCTTAAGAGACGTGTGGCTAAACCCGAATGTTTCTAGTTCTGGGTCTAGTGTTGGTTCCAGTTTTGCATTAGCACAATCACTACAACTAACACAAGACCTAGAACTAGAATCATTCGTGTTTAGCCGTCTTGAAAGACGTGCGACTAAATCCGAATGTTTCTAATTCTAGGTCTTGTGTTAGTTCCAGTTTTGCACTAGCACTATCACTAGAACTAACACAAGACTGAGAACTAGAATTATTCGGCTTTAGCCGTTTTGAGAGACATGCGGCTAAACCCGAATGATTCTAGTTTTAGGTCTTGTGTTAGTTCTAGTGCAATGCTAGAACTAACACTAGACCTAGACCTAGAACTAGAAACATTCGGGTTTAGCCGTCTTGAGAGACGTACGGCTAAATCCGAATGTTTCTAGTTTTCGGTCTAGTGTTAGTTCTAGTATTGCACAAACAGTATCACTAGAACTAACTCAAGACCTAAAACTAGAATCATTCGGCTTTAGCCGTCTTGAGAGGCGTGCGGCTAAATCTGAATGTTTTTAGTTCTCGGTCTAGGTTAGTTCTAGTATTGCACTAGCACTATCACTGGAACTAACCAATGATGCTATCTCTAGGTCTTCTGTTACTTCTAGTGATAGTGTAAAACTAGAACTAACACAAGACCAGAATCATTCGGGTTTAGCCGTCTCAAGAGACGTGTGGCTAAACCCGAATGATTCTAATTTTAGGTCTTGTGTTAGTTCTAGTGATAGTACAATGCTAGAACTAACACTAGACCTAAAACTAGAATCATTCGGGTTTAACCGTCTTGAGAGACTTGCGGCTAAGCCCGAATGTTTCTAGTTCTAGGTCTAGTGTTAGTTCTAGTTTTAAATGTTGTCTAGCTCTAAATTGTGGTATATTTTTATTGAAAGAAAAGTAGAATTAACACTAGACCTAGAACCAGAAACATTCGGGTTTAGTACATCTCTTAACCCATTAACGCCCAAATAACATTTTCTTTAAAAAGAAAGTATGTTGGTACATTTTTTTACTTAACTAAAACAACTGATACCTAAAAATATTGTTTATGTTGTTTGTCTATGTTAGTTTTTGCAAAAAAGGCTGATCTATAAATAGATGGCTGGGCATAATAATGGTACACACGGAATAAATCTCAAAAAAATTTATTGAGAACAATAACATTACATTTTAAAGTTTTTGTTATGAAACATACTAAAATAAGTAACACATAAGTGACATAAGGTAACATTATATTTTTGCAAACAGTAAGCGGTCGACTTTTGCACATTGGAAATTGACATAAACGTTGATTTGCTCTGCTTTCGATGAAATGTAAATTCTTATCGAGTCTTACACTGTCCCTGTGGTCTACTTTTCAAAACACTTGTGCCGGGACCAGTTTTTAAATATGTCTCCTAAAATCTTTGATGGAAATTGACTTCTTCCCATGAATTCTCCTATATAGCAAGAAGGAGTTTACAACAGCCATATCAATTATTCTTGTGACTAGACACCAGTACCATTTCTTATCCCTTATCGTTATAGAATGTTTTTCTAGGAGCCAATCATAATGGTGATTATAATGTCGATATAATCGATATAACTACTGGTTGTATGGTATCAAAATTTGTGGCCACACAAACATATTTGTTATCATTATATTTTACCGGCAATATTTTGTTTTCGCTATCAAATCTATGATTATAGGATCCTTGAGGTAACTTTTCTAAGTGTTTGGTTGGTCGCAATGGACATTTTGCATTTTGTCTTATCTTCTCTGATAGTACCTGTTGCAAGTACTTGCATTTCTTTTAATTGACGAAACAAGGCATAATTGCTAAAAAAAAATATCAAAATATAAGCAACAACTTTTTGGACTTTTTGCAGCAGATGGCACTTCCAAAACAACTCTAGTGGCAAGAGGTTCTGATTGTGATCCGCATTCCTTGCCAGTATAGAAATAGAAATAGCAATATCCATCTTCGCCACAAAAATCGTATCGGCTTACCATTTATGAACTGTTTTAGTAAGTGGTGATCGTAATACCTTACAGTCATTGTATCTATGGACAGATTTTTTTGAAAAATACAAAAATTTTCAAAATTTGCATTTATCATATCTAACAGCTTTTTTATTATTCTGAAAATATATTAAAGACTTTATCTCAAGATAAGCATTTCTGCTCATATCATTTTTCATAATAGGCTGTCCTAAATCGGTCGTCTGACTAATAATCGTGCTCAAATGGTAAAGTGTAGTAGCCGCTAAATATAATAAAGCCAATACAATCTCATCTTTTGGAATCACAAATCCGCGTTTATTTTTCTAACCAGCATATTTTTTATACATTTTTTTTTGTATACTTTATAAGTTGGGTTCATTTTACTCCAATTTGCATTTACCATCTTATGTTTCTACAATTTCCGTTTTTTCTGCACAGGTGCGAGAAATGCTAATGGTACATTATCTTCTTCATCACTGTAGCTCAAATCCTTGGAGCTGGCAGCAATCGAATTTTTAGGGATTTTAGACTTTTTCTGAGGAAGATTGTAGAATTACTAAAAATTTTAAGCATACTTTATGATTTTTGCGATACAACACAAAGTTGTATTTTTTTAAATACAAACTATAGTTTATTATAATGTTCCTGGAGAGAGCACACTGGAAGGAGCATACTTTTAGCTTTCCAATGATGTATCGCAGGATCAATTCCAAAATCAATTCCAAAATAGTAAGCGGTAAAAGGTTTAAAATTTTGATTATAATAGGCGGGTCCATACAGTAAATACTACCTACTATAGTGTATTATAGTGGCTATATGGTTTTGCACGAATATGACAGAATAAAGTTGGTTTTGTACCATTATTCAGGATAAAGTTGGTTTTGTACTAACGAATAAAAACTTTGAATACTCACTTTGTTCACCAATAAAATATGGTTAGCAAGTTAAATTTGTTTATTAAAAATACAAGAAATGTATTAATTAACGAATAATTAAATATGAACAACAACTTCAGGAACTAAACAGTCACAGACTGTCACCTTCTTCTACTAAACTTACTGTTTGTAAGATTAGAACAGTTCGGTATCAATGAATACATAAGATTTAGAATTATCAGCTATGTTTAAAATTTTTCAACGGCACTATATTCTACTCAAAAAAGTGTCTTAAGAATGTATGAGCCCTATTTCTCTAATTTCAAAAATAAACGAAATATGAGTATTTTTTTGAAATCGCTAAAATTTGATTTTTTGGCTATAACTTAAAAGTAAAAGAAGATTTGGTCTTTACGGGATTGGATTAGTCTCGGAAAAAGAGATCGGGACATGGCACCTACTTTTTTCGTATCTCTTATAGTTTCTGAGATAGCATATAATAACATCTAAATTTGCCCACCCTGTACATTACGAAACTCAGTATTTTCCTCATCAAAGATTTCCCCGTTTGTCAGCTCATCTACTTCTGGTGGCAAAACTACTATACATATACGCTTCTATATGCTCAGAATACAAGTAGTCCATTACATCTTGGAGATTTTTAAAAACATCTCTTCTACTTACAGTAAAAAACAGAAAAAAATGTTTACTGTGGGCGTTCAGTAATCTATTGCGATATTTTTTGACAAAATCAAAGAATCTACGAACAATTTGAAAGAACTGGCGCAGCTGACTTACCTTTAGTTTATTTTTTATATAAACGAGCAAAATACTTTTTTATGCACGCACTTCGAAATCAAGCAAACTCGGGGACTCACAAACTACTCCCATACAACGTTGTTTCACAAATCAGTATTGGTGATAAATACACTTTGCCGGTATCCAAACAGCGGCTAGAGGTGTCAGCTTTTTTTTCTAAGTGGTTTTTATGTTGATCTATAAATAGATCGCTAGTCAATAATGGGTTAACCCATTAGTAACCCAAAATGTCCCTTAAAAGGGACACTATGCACAAATGGGTTAAGAGGGCTAAACTTGAATGTTTCTAGTTCTAGGTGTAATGTTAGTTCTAGTGACAGTGGTAGGTAGCGTTAGTTAGCATAAGATATCATTATGTTGCATATTTTTATTGCACTAAAACTAGAACTAACACTAGACTTAGAACTAGAAACATTCGGGTTTAGCCTTGTGCCACAAAACGTGACGTCATATCGAAATTTTAATGTGATTTTTTGTAATTCGCGACGGTAATTAAAGCCATTACAGTACTCAAACGGGTGCTGTAATGAGACTCCTTACAACATCCGATGCTGTAATGAGATTTTAGTAACATTTTATGGAACTAGTTTAAGTTGGTGACATTGGGTCATTAATTTTTCTAGTTGTCAATGTGACAAATTTTGTCTGTCGATGTTTAAACACGTTTTTAGCATCGAATTGAAGCAATTTCTTTTATTTTGGGAGGTGTACATAAAACATTTTTTTCAAGTAAATACATTTTGTGTTTTGACAATTTCTAATTGTCAATTCAAATTTCTATTTTCAAGTGTTACCAACTGCTACATACCTATTTCCCTATGTTGTCAAAATTTATTTTATTTTTGTTAAAAAAAAAGGATAAAAACGCGAAATACAAAAAATAGCATAAAAAACACGTTTCATAAGACTTAAAGCATTCATTAATTAAAAAACTGGTGGCTTCGCCACTCGTTTTTCAACTTAAATTCGTGTATTTAATAAGTAAATTTGTAATATACTAATTCGGTACTTTCTTTTTATTTTTAACGTGTCTTTTGGGTCATTTCACATTGATTAAGCCACATGATGTTTCTTGAATTTTTCCATTTATTTTTTTATTTATTTAGAAATTAATTAATTACCTTTTCAGAAATCCAAGAGTACCTTGTAGAAGTGGGGTGATACCATCCATGGACTTAAGTAAATGGGCAGAATATCCTTCGGAGCACAATTTTAATCACTTTAATTATGATCCTTCATTAGGAAAATAACTAAAAAAAGAGAAAATAAAACTTTAAAAACCTTTTTAAACAATGCCATCAAAGACCAATAAGCCTGAACTTATTTCATAGTATTTTTACTTACTTTAAAATCATCCGAAAAGCCTGATAAACGAAAACTACCTCTGCAAATTATAGACAGAGACATTTGTTACAAATTCACGTTACAAAGCACTTAATATTGTATTAAGAATTCCATTCTAATTCCTTTAATTTATTTACAACTAAAAAATATCTTGTAAATATTATCTTTAACACCACATAGAGATGAGAACTCGAATTGTCTTCATACACTATTTCGTTTTATGTGTAAATAATTGTTAGTTTTTTTGTACTTTGAAGGAAAAAAATAAAAATATTTATTAAAAACGAATTATTAAATTATTTAAAAAATTTTAGGTTATGTTTCAAAAATAGCCAACTTCATGTTAAATAATTTAATAGATTTTAAAATTAAAAAAGGAGTAATTAATAAATTTGCATTTATCGTCAATATTATCATTAATAACATCATTTTTAATTAATTAAAAGATAGTAGAAAATTTTATAAAAAGAATTTAAAAATTTAAATTCACCGCACCGAAGTTCTCCCAAAAATTTGTGAGGTTATGTTTGTCCAACCTACAATAACATCTCAATTTTCCAAAAAGAACTCATAAATACCATAAATTCTCTTAAGATAAGTAAATCAAACTAATTTTTAAAAAAAATTACTCAAATACAAAAATGACGAGTGATTCAGTAAAAGATAACCTAGCTTCTGCAATAAACATCATTCCAAACCGAGAATATCTTCTCCAAGGTTCCGTGGTGGATCAATACGTTGAAGTGTTACTTCATCGTTTACGTGGATTGTGCGACAATGTCGATGATGGTGCTGAAACTTTCTACGATCACGAAATGTGCTTCACGTTGGGTATGAATACTCCTGGAACATCCGCTCTTCCATTAAGAGTTAGAAGAGCCTTAGACTATCAAGACGCTCCCTATCAACTAAGATACATTGGCCAACAAGAATTAGATAAAAACCGACCTACTATAGTGAGATCGAGCATTGATGTAGCTTGTAATTCAGCTATCGTGGAATTTTTGCAAGAACTTGGTTGCCGATTGGATTTTGAGTACACCGCTCGCGGGTATATGTTTCGAAAGGGTCGAATGAAGATTACCGTTTCAAAAATTTGTAAATGTGGGGCTGGAAATAAACCGGAAAATTTAGAATTGATTTCGCAGAGTTATTTGGTTGAGTTATCCGTTTTAGCTCCACAAGGTTATGATGCGATAGCTGAAGATATGAGGTTGTTTGCTGAACAATTAAAACCTCTTGTTCACTTGGAAAAGATTGATTATAAACGATTATGATATGAAAATTATTAAATAAGGTTAAATCGATTTGCATGATTTTTAGGTTAGGTAAGCACTTTATTTGTATTTTAAGTATTTTTTATTTAAATAAAAATAATTATTTTAGGTGATTTTAATTAATTCATAGATATTTTCTACCCCAAAAAGAAAATGTTTTAAAATAAAACGGTATTTTTAATTAAACAGGATTATATAGGCAACCAATTTTGCAGGTGTGTTATTTGGGTTGCATGTTACAAAAGAAAATTTTTGTATATATTTTTTCTTAATTTTTCAAGTTTTGAAACATTTCGAAACAACGTTTTTATTATAAAATCACCAATTCTTAATTTTTTAAAGATATTTTTTAATATGGTTAATTTGTTTTAAAATAACTTTCCATTTTTTTCAAAATTCTTCAAAAAAAGAAGTGTTATTAAAAAAAGGTCGTTAAAGATGTTATATAGTTATCAAAAACGATGAAGATAAAGACTAGATAATTATAAGGAACTATTAACTTTAAGTGTATAATCCGGATAATAATCTTGAATAGGTTCATTAACGGACCGGATATTCCGGAAGATTAAAGGGCCGTATGGATAATTAGAGAGCCTCCGTAGCTTTGTATCGCACCCATTTCGAGATAGTCTCTTTCTCTTGGTTTTATTCCAGCTTTCGAGCATATCTCCACGAGCGTCAACCGCGTGATTTACGGTATATCCCGCGTTGCTGCCTCCTCGTTGCCGTTCGTAAGCAGATTACGAGATCTGCGAATATTCGCGGGGAGTTTGCAATAAATTTTTATGAAACCCATTTTCGGAACGCGTTTCTACTCAACTCCAACAACGCAAACCGATTTATTATAGATATTTCCTTTTTTAAGTCAAATTTCCATCTAAATTTCGATCCGAATATGAAGCCGACACATTTTATGGTGTTAATACGTCAAAATTGATTTTATTTAATTTACACATCCGCTCGCCATCAGAAAAGTTTCGTTTTAAAGCTGTTCTGTGCGGAAAAGTTTTAGTAAGCAATTAGTGGATGGGAAAAGTTCGGGTTAATTGTCCTTGAAAACGGGGACACTTTTAAAGGTTGTTAACGTTGTGGCGTCGCCGTTTTCTCTCCGGGCCCTCTGAGGTAGTCGATTCTTTTGACGTTGATATTAAAAATAAAATCGAGAAAAAGTCACCGATCGCAGGAAGTAAAAGGGATTAAATTAGCAATTTCTCTACAAAAAAGAAAATAAATGGAAATTCTTATTGCTACTGAAGCGATTTTTTTTGACAAGCAATAAAAAATTTAGAGCAATATCATTCAATATAAAAAATTGAAATTGAGAGAACTTTTAATATAAGAAATTGGAAAATAATGTCAGTAATTCCATGCAGTCTATTTTGTTGTTGTGGCCAAATACGACGAATAAAAGGTTGCATTGGAGATTGTTTAGGCTTCATACAATGTTATGTCATCTCAATGAGCCTTTGGTTTACGTGCTCTACCAGTTGTAGGTTCTACAGAACGTTTCCTAAGTTGCTGTGCAGAATGTTTTATGATTTTTATTGCATACAATATTGCCGTGAATACTGACGATTTCAAAGTCAATATATTACACAACCCCAAAGCCTGATTTGCTTTCTTTCTTGTATGCTTTGGAACATAGGCTATTGCACTTTCCTGTACTTATTATAGCAGACTTTAATTTACTTGATTATGTTAAGGGTCCTGGTACTACTGTCGGTGATGGAAGAATACAAGTGTTTCGAAGACTGCGGACTGAATCATCTGCTGAACTGCGACGGGAGATTGTTTGATTTAGTTTTAACTAACACTGAGCATCAGTTCCAACTCGTACGTGATGACCTGCCTTTTATATCTGAAGATTTGTACCATCCTTAAATATTACCATAAACTTACTCGCACCAAGTAACAATCAATCAATTTTTCCAGCTTGTGGCAGTCGTTATGATTTTCGCAGAGCCAATTTTTATGGCTTGTATGATGATTTACTCGAAACAAATTGGTCCTTTCTTGATTAGTGTGTAGATGTTGATGCTGTGCGCTTATTTTACATGAAGATCCATGAACTATTGGATCAATCTGTTCAAAAAAGAGCGTATCATACTTCTAAATACCCTATTTGCTACACTCCTGAAATTAAAAATCTTTTAAAGTTAAAATACTTCCATAGAAGAAAGTGGAAGAGAACTAATTGTGATTTTTATCGTGCGGAGTTTGGAAGATTGAGATATTTGATTAAGCAAAAGATCTCTGATTCGTATATGTATAGCCTTTACAAATAATGCTGAGCAGTCATTGCACTCTGATCCTCGTAGCTTCTGGAATTATATAAGGCATAAAACTATGACTATACGACTCCCTGCTGAAATGTTTTTTTTTTCTATGATACTGGAGTTTTTGGTGGTGACTCTACGTACCAGTTGGTTGTTTCGCACTCTATGTATCCATCTAGCATTTTATAGATTATCACTGTGGAACAAGTTCTTGATCTTCTTAAGAAGTTTCCGAACAAATTTACGGCTGCCCCACTTTGCTTGATCATGAACTTGTGCCTAAAGACGGGTGAGTTTCCTAAAATCTGGAAGCGATCACGTATAATTCCCGTTTCTAATATGTAATTTGCATTGAATTTGTTTCTATATCAAATACTTCGCTAAAGTATTTGACCAAATCATCTATGGGGCTATTTACCGCCGCACCAGCATGGGTTTATTAAGCGCCGTTCAACGGTTACTAATCTTGCGGTGATTACAGAACTAATAGGTGAATCCTTGGATAGGGGTTGGCAAGGGGATGTGATGTACATTGACTTTTCTAAGGCGTTTAATGCGATCCATCACAATCTCCTGCTCCAGAAGTTCAGTATGTTTAGCTTTTCCTCTGGGCTTATGTGTCTTGTTTCATCGTATTTATCAAGGAGGGCCAATTATTTATTTTATAATGCTTCGGTGGAGCTTATTACACGATCTGGTGTCCCACAGGGCTCTAACTTGGGTCCACTACTGTTTGTAATATTTACTAACGACTTATTAAATAGATTGTGTTGGCTTATGCTGATAATCTTAAGATATTTCGCCCTATGACCTCGGAAGATGACGTGGCTTCGATGCAGTCGGATCTTGATATCTTGGTGGAATGGTGCGATCGTAATTAGCTCAGGATTAATGTGGAGAAGTGTAACGCTATCACTTTTACATGTAGAACTACTCCTTTACCTTCATTTTACTGTATAGGTGGAATTTCCCTGCTTAAGTTGACTTCTGTCAAAGATCTGCGAGTAACTTTTGATTGCAGACTATCGTTTATACCGCACCGCTTTGTGCTCTGTACTTCACGTTTATTCACGAATTCTGCAGTATACATATCGCTTTTTTGGGCGCTTGTTCTGCCGAGACTGGAGTATGGTTCTGTTATAAGGTCACCGCATTATATCTCGCATCGTCTTTTATTGGAGAGAATTTATAAAAGGTTTTTAAAGTACCTTTCCTTTCGCGTGGGTGGAGCTTATCCTTTTCATGGCACTGACTACCAATCTTGACGTTAGATTTATTGTAAAGCTGGTGAGTGGTGAGACGGATTGTAACTGGTTACTCTCTTGTATCAACTTCAGTGTACCCAGCCACGCTACCTGATACAGCTGTGTCTTCTATTTGAAGAATAGTAGGACCAACGTGCAGGCTAGCGCCCCGCTACAGACAATGTGCAGGCTTGTAAACCTGAGAGATGATTACAATGTTTTCGCTTAGTGTTTAATTGATTCTTGTGTTAATGTAAGTTTGTATTTCTGTATAATATAATATTGTCCTGTAATTGGTACTTTATTGGGCAATAAAGATATATATTATTATTATTAGCACAAAATGCTGCCACGGAGATGCAGTGGTGATATATTAAATGCTCAGAAGAACTACGTGGTAATGTTATGAATTTATACAGCCCTCTGTAACAACATTTTATGTTGCTATGTAAATGCAGTAACAACGTCTATACAGCCTATATTTTCATGGAAGTGCTGTGGTGACAAAGACTGCATACAATGTTGTCGCTGAAACCTTTATGACATGATAATGAACGATGAAAGCTGCCAGATGATTATCCTCAGATCATTTTTACGCTAATTCCAGAGATATTTTCGTTTTTTCTTTTCTCATCGTCTCAATGAAAGATTGTCGTGTTAGAGAGTTACAATATTGAAATACCACAGAATCTTTCCCCAAAGAACAAAAAATTTGATTTTGACATCTATTTTTTACAATATTAATACTATACCGGGAATTTCATATAACTCGCAATATATGAATGCAGTAAGCATAGTTACGAAACTAGTATGCACTTGCACTGTCCAACATAAAATGCAACATAGCTTAATAGTACAGGCACTATACCTAGAACAAGAATCATTTGGGTTTAGCCACACGTCTCTAAAGATGGCTAAACCCGAATGTTTCTAGTTCTAGGTATTATAGTGTTAGTTCTACATAATAACAGTGGAAGTGTAAAACTAGAATTAGGCTAAATCCGAATAATTTTAGTTATAGGTATAGAGTTAGTTCTAGTTTTACACTTACACTGTTACTATATAGAACTAACACTACACCTAGAACTAGAATCATTCGGGTTTAGCCGTCTTTAGAGACGTGCGGCTAAACCATTCTAGTGTTGTATAACAATTAAAACTAACACTAGACCTAGAACTAGAAAGTTTCGGGTTTAGTGTTAGTTCTAGTTTTACTCTAGCACTGTTACTATATACAGGGTGCCCGGAAATTGCGTTCATATATTTAAAGGTGTGATTCTACATAAAAAATCATGAAGAAAAGTTCACATAAAGGTGTGTCCTAAAATGCTTTCTAAGGGAGGTAGAGCGGTTTGAAGAAGACGTTCAATATGTGGTTATTTCTCATTCTTAATAGGCTTCTTTCATTGGTTTGATTTAAGCTGCATCGAGCACCCTTTCTTCCACTTCTACAGTCCTCGTAGTGCAAGATCTTCCACAGTCGTAACGATTTTCCTTAAAGCGCCCAGTTTAACACAATCTTTCATGAATAGAAGCGAACATTCGTTCACAGGGAAGTTGTAGATTTGGAGATCGTTCTGCGTACAAT